AAACCTTTTTTTTTTGGGGGGGGGGGGGTTGAGAAAAAACCCCCACAAGTTTAGGGAACTACCTACTATGGAAATAATAAACTCTTGCAGGAGCAGAGGTGTTAAACTCATTTTGTGGAGCCCTCAGTTGCATGAGCTCTGCCTGCCTGAAAACACTCTTCAGATGCCTGCCACACAGAAGTTTCTCTCATACCCCTTACCCCCCTCAACCTCCATGCCAAATCAGTGATCATTTAGTAAGAGTCACAAATGGTTGTTTTAGATGGAGCAGGTGGGTAAATGATTTATGTTTAAACTGCTCCATAAAATAAGTCTGGGGATTTTTTTTTCACACAAACACACAAAAAACCCCACAGATTCACTGCATATTAAAGCTTTCAGGTGTGTTAGTAAAACATACAGCAACTAGCCTGGCTTTAAGCATGAGCCAAGTGGTAGCAAAGACTATAGAGAAAAATCTAACAACCTTAATTACCAGCATTATGTTTACAACTTTCAACACAAAAATCAGATTAACAACGAAGTGGAAAATACTCAGCACAGTGGTCACGATATTAAAGTACAGAACACTTAATAACAGCAACAGGCTCGCATACCTACTTCCCCATGCTCCAAATATACTGCAATGTAGATGATTTACACAGTTAAACCAGTTTAATCTGTACTCGATTCATCTGCATGTCTGAACACACAAAGATTAGAATGGCAACAAATGGTATATCATGCACTGGTTAGTAATTTAATAATGTGTTGTTTTGCCATTTTTAACAATCCAGATGAAACTGAATACTACCAAGTGATTAGGATGAAAGTAGTATCCCCATGTATTTGCCATGTAAAAACCACCAAATTCAAACTTCATTACATAAAATCTATGTGTTTCAAAGATTTCTTTGTCCCTTCTGTTATGCCACTGCACAATCACAGTTATACACAAAATAAAAATGCCTACTGCTTATCCTAAATGTATTTCAGTTAGCTCAAAGGAGACTGGTGTATGTTTCTTTTCTGTATTTGATCTAACATCATTAGAAATCTTTGTAGGTAACATCAAGGCTGTATTTTTGAGCTAAGCCAACTATAAAATACATTTGCTCTACTTAAAAATCTTACAGTCAGAACAAACTCAAAAGTTCCCTAATTAATACTGTTTTCTTATATTATCAGCACAACAGCATCACTTGGAGTTGTCCCACACTGAGGCACTCAAGTTACATGTTTTACAGCAGCTTTCCAAAAATTCTGACCCTGATGCTAGGGACAGACATTCAAAAAGCCTGAGCCTGAATTGATTCAACCTTCACAGGTTAGTCTAACCTGGCTAGGCTGAACCGGTTTCCAACCATACAGACAATCCCTCTGATCTAAGGAAACTCAGGCACATGCCTGCAGTGGCTCACGCTGGAAGCCAGGGGGCACTAAAGCAACCTTCCCTGCCCTTCCACAGAGCTACACTGAGGGGGGTGTGACCAGGCCCCAGCAGGGCTCTGATTAGGGAGGGGTGGAGCCCCCACCCTGCCTGCAGTCCCAGACTTTTACCCACTTGCTACTCAAGGGGCAGGAGTGTTGCCAGCCTGCAGACCCAGGCTATCACTGAGGCAAGGAGGGGTGTGCGGTGCATGCATCTGTTGGTGATACTGAGCTTTTCGCTCTCCCTCCCTGCTTCTGTATACTGTCTGCAGCAAACTGACAGGGAAGCAAGCCAGGGGGAGGGGGGAGCTGATAACAGTGTCTATCACCATTATCTCAGTGTTTATTATCCCATTAAGAAAAACAGAGAAGTTACCATCTGTTAATTCAGCACAGACCCAGCATGTGGTCTGTTGGCTAATGCACAGACATCTCTCAGCAAGGCAGAGGGCAGGGGGGAATTTGTGCTTAGGAGAGAGTAGTGAGGGGGAAGAGGGGGGAGCAAATAGTTCTTCTCAAATAGCCTTTCCAAGGAAGGACATTAAACTACCTGTTGATAAGCTCCAAAAAGCCTATTTGCCTTTGTCTCTCCCACAGCATGGACTCTAGCCAGCATGTGGTCTGCTAGCTAATGCCAAGGTGTCTGCATAAAGTAGAGGGGCTGGGGGGTTGGGTGGGGAATAACCCATGCTTAGCACAGAGAAGCCAGGTAGATGCAGAGGGAGGGGCCAGCACTGCTGTGGAGTAGAGAGCCCTGCCCAGCCCAAGAGCATGCCGGGATGCTGGGGGGACTCTGGTTTATCTTAAACCAGCAAGGGATCTGGGACAGACTTTGCATAAACTGGTCTAACCCAAATCAGTTAACTCTGATAATACATTCAACCAGGTTTATCTCAAACTGGTTTCAGCCATTTTCAAACTGGTTTATGTGCACTGAACATCTGTTCTGTTACAGGTTTAAACCAGTTTCTGATCACTTAAACTGGTTAATGTCTGTCCCTAGCCTGAAAGTACATTTTAAAATTATTTATGTTCTTATGACTTAAAAACTTACCTTACAAAGAAAGCTCACGTTAAAGCCCAATGATTGGGCATTTCTTGAGCCTGAATTCATGTAGTTTCCAATCAACAAAACTAATTCTAACAGCCTACTAAAGCTCTCACTCTTCTTCAGCTCTTCACAGGCTAGCGTTACTGCCATGATGCCAGGTTTGATGTTGTTCACATGCTCCTCAAACATAAGCTTGAAAAGGATGCCATTGAGCCGAGGTCGTAACATTTTCACTGAACTCATCTGCAACATAAAAAATGTTCATTCAGAATGTGCACAGGAAGAATAAAAAGCTTATTTATGCAATGTAGCTGAATTTTAAAACACTGTCCCTGTCCAGCAAGAAACAGCACAGTATAGCTGCATTTGTATCGTTTGTTCAGCCTTGGCTTTCTAGGAATATGTAGCTACAAACACCATAAACAATGTATGTTTGAATTTAACCAATTAATTGAAACAGCATAGTTAACATCAAAACATTAACTTAAACAATAAATAACATAAATTTACATAAATTACAGAATCAGTGGAAATTAGTGTTGTACACTGCCAAAATCCCTCTTTCAAGTGAACTATATGTAAGCCAGTACAGTGAAAAAGTAAAAACTGAAGATTAACTCAAAATGCAGTCACAAAAGCATTCTGTTACTGAAAGAATCATTCCAAAACACTGATAATTATTTGTTTCAAATCTGAAAAGACCTACAAAAACTTCTCATGTTACCTACAAAGACTTCCCTACCTCTGATTGTGCTTCAGTACATTTTACATACATTACCTCTTATAAATCATAGGACCATTCTTCTAGTGTTGTAAGTCGGTTTCAAATATGTGTTAGAATGTTCCTAGTAAGTTACTGTTATAATAAACTTACAGCAACATATTTCTAAGTCTTGCATTTACCTATGTCCTTAACAGCGCTGCTTGGAATTACTAGGTTTTAAGTAACACCGAAAATCTCCAGCAAGCGTTTATAAAGTACTGGCATGCTTCTCTCAAGCATACCAGTACCTGGAACTGACCACTAATATTGGAAAAAAGAGAAAATGCTTTACCAGCCTGCTCTGAGCCAATTAACTCCTCTGGCAAAGATCATCATTGATGGACAGGAGCTCGAGAACACTGAACACTTTGGATACCTCGGCAGCCATCTCTCAAAGAAGGCCAACATCCATAAGGAGATCCAGCATAGCATCCGATGTGCCAAGTTTTGCATTCAGAAGACTGAATAATCATGTGTTCAATGATAATGACATCAGGACTTGTACAAAGCTCCTACTATATAATACCAACTTTTCTCTACAGCTGTGAAACTTGGTCCTTACAGGGACCACCTGAAAAGCTTGGAATGTCTTCACCAGCGCTACCTCCAAAAGATCCTTGATCAAAGTGGGAGGATTGTCATGCAAATGCCAATGTCCTTGTTGGTGCTAACACCACCAGTATGGAAGCACTGATTATTCAACATCAGCTGTGGTGGACAGGGCATTGTGTGTGCATGACCGATGTACATTTACCAAACCAACTGCTATACTCCCAACCAGTCAAGGACAAAGCACATGCAGGAGCCTGGGGGAATGCTTCAAAGACACCCTCAAGGCAAAAGTTAAGAAGTATGACACTGACACCACAAACTGGGAAAAACTAGCCCAGGACAGGGCTAAATGGCGATGCCTTGTGAGAGAAGGTGCATCTTACTTTGAGGAAAACTGTCCTCAAAGACAGCCCTGGAGGCAGAACAACAACAGAAATGGAAGGAAAGGAAACAAGATTGAGAAATCAAAAAATGTACATTAGATTCAGATTCTTGTAGACACTAGTAGACAATAGTAATTATCTTGCTGGATCATGTCAGTGGCCCATTTAGCCCAATATTCTGCACTTGACATAATACAGTTGTGCGGGCCGGCTCCCAATCTCGGGGGCAAGCCGGGCCCGTCTTTGTGCACACAGGCTGTGGCCAGCAGCCCGGGCACGCGGGGCCGGAGAAAACCGTGGCGCGGTATGGTACGCTCGAGCTAGAATCAGTCACGGAGGCGTAATGGTTGATTGAAAAGATTATTTACTTACACCCAAGGTGGTCGCGGTGTAGGCTGGTCAGCTTTCCAGGCGCAGCTCCGCTTGAGTTCTCATTGGAGGACTCTGATAGACTTGGTTCCTTGACCCCGGAGTGTTTTAGGCTCCGCGGGTTTAACAATTCTCTCTCACGGAGCAGCTGAATCTCCGTGGGTTTTGTTCAGTTCCCAGGTCCCCCGGAGCTGTTAAGACTCCGTGGGTTCGAAACTTGGATCCATAGGATAGGGATACGTCTAGGGTTGCGCTCGACGACGGGGAGAGGCTAGAGGTTATTGGCCCCGGAGTTGTTAAGGCTCCGAGGGTTCGGTAAATAGGTTCCCCGGAGTTGTTGAAGCTCCGTGGGTTC